GATAAAATGTTGATTTGCACCTCGTTACATGTTATATGCTGAGTGTGCATGAAAAAATGTATGTAAATATTAAAAGTGTTATGTGTTATTGTTGGGTAAGCACCTGTGTAAATGATTGAAGTGGTGAGGAATGTAATTGAACGAGTAACTGGATTGCAAAGTTAATGTAGAGCAAGCATATAAAGTGTTTAATTATTACTTATGGTCAAAGGTGGCAAGTTTGATTGCAATGTGGTATAGTGGATGGTTTACTACTGTAAAGCTTCTCGTTGTTCATGAGGGTAAAGCACTATAGGTTTTACCCCATGAAACAACTTTTTAAGAGGGGAGGTGTGTAGCAAACAGCCCTGCCTCACCTGTCCGTCACAGCTGAACAGTGGAGAAGGAGCCAATGAGAGGACGGAAGGCGGAGCCAAGGGGGGAGGTAGCTGGATATAAAGGCTGGTGTATGCAGTATGAAGAGAGATTCTGGTAGTGAGAGACAGTATGAAACTTAAATGTGAACTAAGAGTGAGTTAGAGATCTGTAAGAACGCTAAATGGAACAGAGAGTTAATAGAGTTTTAAAGTTAAAGTAGAATTGATTCAAATACAAGTGATTACTAACCTGTGATTTACCTATTGAATATTAATCATATATCAACTTCCCTGATCTAATAAATAACATAAGTTTTAAAAGCATACATGTTTCCATGATTAAAATGGTATTAAAGCAGTAATACCTGGTGGCAGCGAAGAAGAGCCTTGTGAAGACCTGAGGGGATAGGGGCTTCAGAGGAGATCACCACACCTCCATTACTGACTTTTTAGGTTTTTTGGGTGGCATAAATATGTACTTTCTTAATAAAAGGGACTGATTTCTATTGCTGAGTTAGTCAGGTCTCTTTTAAAAACACTTTTACTGCTGTTTTCTTTTTCTCAGTATGTTTCTGGGGTACTATGTAGCTCTCACTCAGCAGCTAATGATGGCTACACTTTCTCTGGCACCACACAGAACACTATATTTCTTGGTCTGAGACAATCTTCTTGCCTCCAGACACAAAACATTTCTCTACTTAACTACTTCTTCACTTCAGGCTTTTCAAAACTCCTTCAGCTCTATACTGATCTTAGGCTTTTCAAAATTTCCTCAGATTTATTTGGACCTAAGGCTTCTACTCCGTCCATGCCTGTCCTTTCTATCAGACTGGATCTTCTGAGTTAGCCTCTCTTGTCCTATAAATCCTGAGGAAATATTTTATTTTGAGTAGGTACTTTTCTCCTTCAAGGACTTCCCTCAGATAAAAAAAGGACTTCCCTCAGATCTAGGTTTAGAAGACTTCCCTGAGACTCTAGCAGGTCACCCACTTCTTCACCATAGATCCAAAACTTCCTTCTATTTAGGAATACCTCACTCTTCAAACTATTCACATTCCCACACTGGATTATTTCATATCCTGCCACTGGACACCAATTGTGACATTCACTGTCATGGCTTCTGCTTGTTTCACCAAACCAAGGGCTAATGCTACATATCCCACAAGCTGACACCAAATTGTCACAATACCCACGTGCCCTGTTTAATATTCCCTCACAAAGGCACACGTCTTCTTCTCACTGCCACTAGTGGGTTACTTCAGTCCACAATATACGTGATGTATATCAGAACACTTCTCTTATGAACAGAAACAGAACTTATTTATTGAAGTAAAGCGGAATGAGTAATAACAGAAGTTTTTCAGATATTCAGTGTACATAGGCAATTCATCAACAGTTCTCTCAGTACAGTTCTTTTCGCTTGCAGATTGATTACCACCCTCTCTACCTATTTTCCTAACTAGCTCTCTCTCTCTCTAACCAGCCCTATCTTTCTGACTAACCATCACTATCTGACTCCTCCTTCTCCAGCCAAGCCTCATATAGCTGCTGACTCTGCCTCTCCAGCCCTTTCATAGCTTCATGCAAATCAGCTCATGAATATGAATGACATGAGTGATGTTGGTGTTCACCACACTGGCTATGGTGGAAGGCAGACTCCATAACATCAGAAAGGCCACAGGTTCTCCATCCCACAGTAGAAGGCTCAACTTGCTGAGACAGAACACTGGCTTTCCTGGTTATTAAGATTTCCTATTCTGGTTGCACTGTTTTCAGAAACTGTAGGCCACAGACTGTGACTTCCTTGCTGCTGCTCAGTAGTTCAACTCTGAAAAAACAAGAGTAAGATCCATAGCTTTCTGTAGCTAGTTGCTGTGTTCTGCTACCAGAGCACCCATGCTACCTACCTTAGCTCAGGAAAGCTTGCAGGAACAACTACTGTATAGTGAAAGCCAAAGAGTATTTGAAGACAATTTCATTCACTGATAAATTTTATAAAGATGATAGTGTTTCGAACATAATAAAACTACACTCTGTTGATGAAGCACCATCCTGGTTTCTGCAGATGAAAGTCTTGCTTTGTTGGGTTTTAGAATTGTTTGGTAGTGTCTATGCATACAAAGGCAGTCTATTTTTCAAAAGAACATTGTGCTTTATTAATGCATTTCCATAACTGTATTTGGAGCTTTCAGATATATCTTGTTGCTTTAAAATCTTCTGTTAGGAAACTTGTTGAAGGTTATTTAACCAGATCTAAGTCCAGTCCCAGTCAGTTTATACACAGTTGTGATGGGTGCTCCATGCTGAAGACCTGTTAACTGTGAAGCCAGAATTTGTAGATGTACACCTACTCTTTGGCTATCATGCAGCCCCTCCTAGACAATAATCAAGGAAAAATAACATTTGTGGATCTTGAAGGAACAGCAGAGAATACCAGGACTATAATGGAGAAATGAACTACCCACTTCTTAAAATGAATGGATCACCAGGAAAGTCTAGTCCTCAAACACATGGAGAACTGGGTTATTTGGAATTCACTTGATAAGCTATGGACTGGAGTTGGTAGAATGAAAAGTGGACATAAGAAAATGGGGGTTTGTACCAACACAGTCCTTAATTAGTTCAGAGAAGAATAGGCAACTTCACACCTATGTCAGCATACGCTATGCCAGCAATGGTGAACCTATGTCATGCATGTCACAGCTGGCACACAGAGCCCTTTCTGTGGGCATGCAAGCCATAAGTCGCCATTGAGAAATACGTGTCCTCTGATCCCAGATTTTTGGCACTCCCCTCTGCTGGTGCAGTGGTCCAGCAGAGGGGTGCAATGGCAACCATTACCAGTCTAGACCAATGGGGGGATTGGAGGACCAGTAAGTATTTTTCTGTTAATACTGCCCATAGGGGAAAAAAACAAGCATTTAACCCTTGCAGTGCAGGGGCAGTTGCTTTTCTAAACTAAAACCCCAGTATTTGGGTTTTAGTTGCAGTGTTGGCACTTTGAAATAAATAAGTTGATTTTGTGTTGCAGTTTTGGCACTCGGGCTCAAAAAGGTTCACCATCACTGCTCTATGCCCTGCAACAAGTGCCATGGAGGACTTGGTGTTAACTGCCCCCAAATGCTCTTGATGTTGCCCATTACTGGTATACATCTTATATATTTTTAATTGTACTGTGATGCTTCTGAGACAAACAAAGAAAACAGGAGCCCTGTGCTTGCAGCAAAACATGGCAAAGACTAGGAGCCACTAAGCATATTAATACAATAATTTATTTGGCTGGCCAAGCAGGAACAAAAATGTATGAATGCTTTGGTTGACCTAGTAATGGTATTAAGATTTTGGAATTTATCTTCTGACAAACTTGGCACCTTTATTTAAAGTTAAGTCATTCACTGATTTAGTTCAAACAGAACTAATAAAACATTAGGCAAAATCCTCTTAACACAGCTTTATGCTGCACAAGCTGGATGATATCATCATCTGATATTAAATTAATTGAAAGCTTCCTGTTTCTCTCTTTCAGGTCCTTAGGCTCCCTAGTGCTGGGGGGGAGCCAAAAACATTGTGAGATCCTGATCCTGCTGACAATGATTTTTAGCTCTTACAGGCCTCCCCATTCTGAGGCTTCAAAAATTTCTCCAGGACATGAGTGAGTCCTAGGGAGCCTTGGAACCTAAAATGAGGAAGGCAGGAGGACAACTCTTTAGGTGACAAGTGGGTCCGATGGCAATTTTATATATATTTTAATTGTATTTTAATTGTTACATATCTTTATTGTATTTTAAATGCTGTAAGCCGCC